AAAAAAAAAAAAAAAAAAAAAAAACTACAGGTGAAGGAGCAGTAAATTCACTGAGGCATTATAACAAACAGATTTCGATCAGATAACAATACAGATTTAAAGTTAGGAGCTAAGTAAGGAAGCAGAGTAACAGAAGGAAGAGAAAGTACCTGACAAGCTGAAAGAGGAACGATATTGGAGTGGAGGGAAGATGGGAAGAACAAAGAGGGGTAATTTAGAGGGAGTGGATGTGGTTTAGGAATAGGGTACGTGGCCTTTTCCTCAATGGATAATTCACTACAATTCTTTCGCAAAATGCTGTTTGATTTTCTTCTATGAGAATATTTTTGGCTATTTTTGAGAGATTTTATTTTATGGCCTCCTATCTGAGTGGCCACTCTTTAGTCAATTGGCTTCTCAATTTCTTGCCTTGGGCATCATAAACATGGTACTCCGCAGTCCGCACAAATTTTGTGGCCGTATATTCAATTAAAATAAATTCTTTATTTTTCAAACTTAGGTGCGGAAAAGACCTTTGGTGGAATAAAAACTTTTGTTGCTTATTACAACAACAACAAATATAGTGTAATATCACACTCTCACCTTCAAGAAGGCAGAGATATTCGTTTTCCAGAAGACCCTCGACTTAAGAAAAATAAAAGAACGGCAGCATCAAGTACACCAATTAGAAAATCGAAGCAAAAATATAAAGATACAAAACTAAATTTGAGTATTGTAATCAGAAGGCCGGAACGAAAGCAACGACAAGTAAACACAGGAGTCAAGGAATACGCAAATACATAAATAATACTAACTCATGTACTAAAGCTACCGTTACCGGCAAGGACAACGCGAGACGACATATCATAACTTTTTACCTTTATCCTCAACCTCCACACTTTTCTAACTATGTGTTGCAGTGAAATATTATTCTTACCAGAAAAGTTTAGTCAAGAGTAGGATGAAAATTATAAGTAGTATGAGTTTACTAGTATATTTAATTATGATTTAACAGAACAAGTTTAGTCTATATGCAAAACATTTAATTTGTAATCAATCATTGACAAGAATTANTATATATATGGAGTATATATATTCCGTATGTTATATACAAAAATTATACAAATTTTGTACATTTTTTCAGACTAACGAATATAAATAATTTTTGTAGCGGGCTAAAAGTGAAAAAGGCTAAATTAAGAATTGTTACTTTGATGGACAACTTACCACCTTTCCCGATCATATAAGCAACTAAAAGGTGACTGCAATTTCATTATAGTTGACAACAAACAATCATTTTTTGCAAAACAACTTGGCATCTCTTACTAGGCGTTAGAAAAAGCGTACACACATCAATTATGAAAGAGCCAATTTTTATTCAAGCAAGATAATTCATTTGTAAGAAGGAACAAATACATTATACATCTCTTTGTGTGTTCAGATACTAGTACTATCTGCTAACAACAGAAAGTGAATAAACGCAAGGCAAGTAACATTAGCCTAAAAAACTAAGCAAGCCGATCTAGCCTCTGGTTAATCTTGGGAAGAGAATGGATCTAATGTGATCCAATTCAAAAGCTTCATCAAATGCTCTCATTATGGAAATCAGGCCCCTTTCCGCCATTAGATCATGTGGCATTGTGTTTGCAATAGTCCTGACCGATGAGTCTGTGCTTTCTTTCATCCGTTCGCAAATTGCAAAGCGACAAACAGGACACGAGCCATGGCTCGTCACCCATGGAACAATACAATCTTCATGGAACATGTGGCTGCATGGAGTTACTGTCACCATTTCTTTAGGCACAAAATCTTCCAAGCAAATGGCACATCTTTTACCATCTTCGTCGTTGTCCTTTTTCAATTCATTGGCAGTACTATTATTCATGTTATTGTTCAAACCTCTAAAATAAAGGCTTACTTGTCTTGCAACTTTTGTTTGTACAGGATTGTAGATTTCTTTCTTGAGCTTATTCAAGGCAGACTTTTGCTCATCTGGGCTCAATTTGGATTCGTCCCGGTTTTGTGGCTGGTTCTGTAGAAACCAAGGAGGGGGAGATTCAAATGGAGGTTGGCTTGGCCTAGGATCTGGTGCATGTCTTGGTATGTCATCGTCGTGGACTAGCACTCGAACAGGAGGATGAGGTGGTCTATGTCGTGGTTGGCCTGGATATGGATAACTGCAAGTGGTTCTTGAAATGAATCTTGGATTTTAATCTGAATAAAGAATAGAAGAAAATGTTTACCTGGTTGCACCATGAGGTACTGGTATTGGTCTCTCTGTTACAGGCAACCATGGATCATGAACGACATGTCTATAATTCTATGAAACACAAAACACTTCAAATCAAATCAAGTATACGAGCCCTATCTGGTGTAAATATATACAAAAGCAGATTCATGATTTAAACTTAATAGGTTCAACATTAAGGTTCTTAACACTAAATTGTACTTTCGAAAATATGTATACAAGATTTTAATATTTGTTGAAATTTTGGTGGTTAAATAACATGTATATCTATGTTCAGTGTCTAAAATACTGGCTTCAACCTCTGGTCATGTATAGGAGAAGAAGAGACTTACCTGAGGGATATCTCGGGGAGGTGTAGGACGAGGGTAAATGACTCGCCATCTGTTCCAGTTGCTGTGCTCAGGTTCATGTGAAGTAGAATCATGCCACTGTTCAGGACTCCAATTCTCATTTGGTGTAAAATTATAAGGTCTGTTGCTGCTCATGATTCCACTATTTCCTATTGATCACTAATTCTCTGTACCTGTAACCTCTTCGTGTGTTCTTTTCTTCTTTAGTTTTGTATTTTTGGGGAAAGGGGGAGAGGAATAAGAAACTATAGCTTAGGAAGCTTTAAGTTTGGGCAAATAAATGGCACATAATAATTGATCCATTATAGCTTTCGAGTTGCCATAATACTGTACGATGAAGTGAAATGTGATGCTTTTTCCCAATCAAAAGGTGTTTCTCTACGGTGGGTGGTGCATGGAATAAAAGACCAATTAAAGTATTAGAGAAGTAAAGAATCCAGTTCTTGGCTGCTAGTTGGGTAGTTGGTGTTGGTGCCTTTGGTTCTGAATGTAGATTCTCTTCATAATTTAACTTAGTGTCAGTGACTTTCCAGAGCAGCAAAATCAACGGCCGGATTCCTGTCTTTCACTATCTTATCATGTTACCAACTTGGATTAATCAGATTTGCAGAACGTCCAAAGCCGAACCGTAAGTGTGAAGGAATCAAATTGGAAAAAACAGAAGCTAGAGTAGGTGGACGACCAACGTAAGAATAATAAGATTGTGCTGAATCCTCCTAATATTGATTTACAGAGTGAAATGGTCACAGAGGATTCATATAGCCGAGCTCAACTAGTTTAACGTAATTGATAGATATGATGCTATTCATAATCGGAGATAATTGGCACAATGTGCAGGTGTATGACTTGAGATTATGCATATCAAAGAAATGATAACACTCTCCATGAGCAGAGATGTTGCACACTCCATGTTATATAATCCTCAACCAACATTGCACATTTCTTGTGCCGAGATTCTATAGGAAACAGCCTCTCTACCCCACAAGGTAGAAATCTGGGTACACACTACCCTCCCCAGACCCCACTTGTGGGATTATACTGGGTTGTTGTTGTTGTAACATTGCACATTTCAGAAAGCGAAGTTTATAAACACTTTCCACTTAAGATAGTTGGCATTCTAACAGGGAGTTCCTCAATCCTCAAGCTGTCAATCATAGAGAAATTTGACATGATGACTTCCTATATGGAAGTGCAGCAGCACTTGCTTTCAAATTGTATACTACAAAAACTTCCTTTTGCATATATGTCATCTGGCTCGAGCCAATACCTAACGGGGAAAAGAAGGCCAAGAACCAAAGAAAGAAAGAAAATTAATGAAATAATTTGGTCAAAATAGCCAATCAAATGCCTTCCATGATAGTACTGGAGTCATAAACCGAAGAAAGCTCCACTCCTGGAGAACTTATAGCAATGGCGAAACAAATTCTCTAACATTTCATGTGTAACGAGGTGCCAGCTGAGACACTGTGGAACGCTAGTGCAAATCACCTTTGGAAAATCAGAAAGGTTTCAACTAGTGCCTCCAGACACCATTTTTGTCTTGACAGACAGACTGTTATATCAATTGCGCATCCTAAAATTACCAAATTAAAATTAGTCTAAGACATGACATGTATCAATCTCAAATATGGGCTAGGCTAGCACTAACCTGCTTTCCCCTGTCAATCACTTCGATGACAGTTACTTGCTCATAGTTGCTGACAACCAAAAATTCCAGAATATAGAAGCCATCGACATGAAAGCAACACGAGCTTGAAGAGGAATCACCCTATGATTTTCCAACACAGAAGTTGTCATATTTCATTATACTAAAGGCTATTCAGTTACTAGTCTAACCACAAATTCATGCTAAGAGCAGGTAAATTACTAGTATAACCACATAATTCAACCTGAACGAACGGAAATTAACAATAGCAGGTTTCAGAGGCAAATAGATGAAAAGAGAGGAACGTGTGATTGCATATGCCTTTTGCTAAAAGTTTGTCTGATGACAAAGATCAATACAATTTGTAACACTAAACCAGAAATGATTATCCTTTCAGAATGATGACAAAATAAGTGTTCTATGAGATCATGCCATAGGGCTACAAGCCTGCACTAGAAGAAAAATTCTTTGTGGAGATTAAAAATCTTACATGCATGCTCAGACGTATTAATGATGCTAAGGAGCAGTAACAGGTCCTTAACGTAATGCAAACAATGTAAATGCTCAGAAAACAAGCTTTTAGCCACTAAAATCGACTGCAGGTGCATAAATCATAGCTCAAAATACGTTAATACTACCAAAATATGGACTGTTTCGCTGACCAAACGTTGATTGCAAAGAGAAGATGAAAACTAAAAAAATAGTTCCAGAAATGGAATATTTCAGATATGACTTCTGGCGTTGGTACTAATTGAAGTATAAAGCATTGTATGCAAGGGCAATAGACAACATATCACAAGCAAATCATATAACTAAAACAAAACCAGGACCCCAGAAAAACGTTTTTACGAGAATGAGAAAAGCTCCGATTACAGCTAGGCTAACAGAGATCAGGATTTTTTTTTTTATTTATATTGTCCATCTTTTAGGAAGGTGCTAAGGAGGGTAGTAAAAGACATACCAAAAGTTCAATACACTGACAGGGATCCAGAACCTAAATCCTGCAAGAGAATGAAGAACGAAATCAAGCTTTGTTGGGAAGAAGGAATTAAAGCAACCAGCAAAGGAATGTAATATGGAAATGCTTACCAAAAAGTAGAGTTGGAAGGGCGTCTTTCTGATATTTGTTCGGAAGATCTGAAAGTTTCCCCAGCCATAAATTATTCCATGCAAAGATAACAGCAATTACAGCAGGACCTAGTACAATTTGGTTTAATACAACCTGAAACAAAGAGTATTAAAGGTACTGGTCAGATGGAGCCAGGTCAAACTCATTACTTATAAAGAATTCTTTTTTAATTGGCAAGTTAACCTCATCATTAAAAAAAATCTGCTCAGAAGCCTAACTACCTTCATTAATATATTCTCCACTGTTTGCTTGGGCATACATCTGTCGAGATACGAGTACCATGCGTAAGTACCAGGACCATATAACAAAAATCCATATGAAGCCATCCGGATGGATCGAAGCCAGTCATGCTTGGATAGGAGAGCACCAATCATATCCTAAAACGGGATTTGGTTAAATACAAAATTCAGATTAGTGTGTAAATACCCCCAAATTTACCTCCTTAATTCAGTGAATCAGATAACCAAAGGGAAGCCATTGTATGAGAGTGCACAAGACATGCAATTTTTTGTTTTGGTGCTAACTCATAAGACATGCAAAATCTTTAGTCATTAAGATGTGTTGGCAAATGTATTGAAAAGCTACTGGCTCTAAAATGTATTAATCAATTTTATTGAACTCCTAAAGCTGCATATTATATTCGGGAATAGAAAAAAGAATGATGCCGCTATTGAATAGTTCGTTAATAATATGAAATTTCCCTAAGGGGTTGATTGGCCAACAAATATCAACAGAAAGACGGCAAATATTATCAAGTAATTGGATATTTTATTCACAAGAGAAAGACAACATTCAACACGTAAATTAATAAATTATTAGAGAAAACATTAAGTTGATAAAGCAAAACATTTAAGCAGAAAAAGCAACCCTCCAGAGAGTCAAAGTGAGAATAAATTTAAAGTTGCCAATATGCAAATGGAGCTGGCATATGGTACGTTGATCAAGCAAGGAAGTGTCTGTTGTGAAGTTGAAGGGTGCAGAGGTGGATGGAATTTGACCTATTTTCCAGAGTTGGAGCTAGGATTTAAACTTTTTAGCTTTTAAATTCTAGGAGAGCGACATTTTATGTTCCTAACTGGGTTCTGAGTTGAATTTTTGTACATGTTTAGTGGATTTTTAAATACAAATACAGAGTTTGGACTAAAGCTACTCGGTTCGACCGAACCCGTATGTCGGATTCTAACTCCACTCCTGCTCTTTTCCTAAGCTGTAGATGAGTTGCAATATGCACCACGCACAGGGAGATTTCTCCATTTGCCTCTTATCTGGTAGGACTACAGGTGAGTATTTCCTTATTCAAAACCCCAAGGGGAATAAGCTAATCTAATATGAAAAAGGATATACAAACTCTAGCCCGCATATAGGTCACGGTTTCAAGCCGTGGAAGCAACCACTAATGCTTGCATTAGAGTAGGTTGTCTACATCACACTCCTTGGAGTGAGGCCCTTCCCTGAACACTCCGTGAACGCGGGATACCTTGTGTACCCCAGTGTTATAAATAGCGCTCGCCTCAGCGCTAATAGCGTGAGGCGAGGCGAGGCGAAGCGAGCAGCCTACGCTATTTTGGCTCTGTTGCGTCGCGATTGTAAAAGGCGAGCGCCTCTGCCTGTGTAACGAGAGGCGTTGTGTAGTGAGAGGCGAGCTGTGGCGTCGCTATTTGAAAAAAAAAAGAAAGAAAAAGGCGCAAAGACCAGCGACTTAAAACATTAGGGCTTGGGTTTTTCACTTCTTCTCCTTCAACAACCTTTCTCTCAGCAACAGAAAAATTAGGCTTGGGATTCATCTTCAGCCATCAGCGACAGTAACCCACTAACCCAGGTATGTTTCTTTCTTTTCTTTTCTTCTTCTTCTCCTTTCTTCTTCTACTTTCTTCTTCTTCTATTTCAGCGACAGTGACCATTGTTGTCTTCTTTTTTTCTTCGTCAGTTCGACTTCGACCATTGTTGTCTTCTTTTTTCTTTATTCTTTCTTATAAACTTTAGTTTATGAATCTACTATGACTATCTATTGAGTTTTGAATTGATATATTTATTAATATATTATTGTTATTGAGTTTTTAGTTTTATATATATATATATATATAATATTTTATGTTTTTGTATAAATTGTCGCTTCACATCAAAAAGGCGAGCGCTTCGCTGCGCGCCTCTCGCCTCAGTGAAGCGGGCCCTCGTTGCTATTTGTCGCCACACGCTATCCAAAACACTGTTGTACCCGGATGCCCTTAGAGAGAAAAAAGAAGAAGAAGCTGAATAGAAAGTAAACCCTTCCCTTTTCCCCAATTGTCTTCTGTAGAGTCAACAGGAAAAATATAAGCAAGAAATCAAGATTTTATTTGTGCTTGGCTTTTCCTTTCACTTTACAGAAGCACATGATATCGTGTACCTCTGTGCGGAGAGGTTAATAGACCTGACAGGT